AGAGAGAGAGAGAGGGGGAGGAAGGAAGTGAGAGTTAGGGGAAAAATGAAAGAAAGTGTGAGAGTAATATATCGAAGCTTTATGACCTGACGCTGACCGATGTGTGTATGTGTGTATGTGGGGGTGGGTGTGTGTATGTGTGTGTGTGTGAGAGAGAGAGAGAGAGAGAGAGGGAGAGAGAGAGAGAGAGAGGGAGGAAGGAAGTGAGAGTTAGGGAGGAAAATGAAAGAAGGTGTGAGAGTAATATATCGAAGCTTTATGACCTGACGCTGACCGATGTGTGTATGTGTGTGTGTGGGGGTGGGTGTGTGTATGTGGGGGTGGGTGTGTGAGAGAGAGAGGGAGAGAGAGAGAGGGGGGAGGGAGAAAGATTAGATTTTTAAAATGAAATGAATGAAAAAAAAACAACCCAATCATTACTTGACTTTCCTACAAGACTTTTAGATTGGTGCATTTTGCATTTATAGGGGATTTTTATAAAAGCCATTTCCGTTTTCGGAAATTAGTTTCTTCTTTGAGAATTTTATATCAAACAAATTTCTTTTGCATGAATTATATCTCTTCCAAATTATAACATTCTAGTACAAATTTTGTGAGAGATATGTAGAAAAAAATGTGTACAGTTTTTTGGATCAGCCTGTACATCTGGGAGTGCTTTCTCTGACTCCGAGGTTGGCGTGTAATGACCTCCCATCCTTCACGGTCGCGAGCCGCCGTTGTACAGTCTGCTATGGGGGCTCTCGTGGCCTACAGGTTAAGGTGTTGGCCTCTCATTCAAAGGTCCCTGGTTCGAATCCGGGTAGCGACCGAAAAATTTTCTTCTCTAAATTTGTCTCCTTTCACCTCATTTCCTGCTCTCTAGCAATGTTCTGTCGTCTGCTTTCGTCTCCTCTTTCTGCCCCCACCCCCTCACCTCCTTTGCCCCCTCCTCTGGGCTCCTGACTCTTTCTGCTGCCTTTCTACTGCTACTCCTTGGCTCCTTCTTACTGCTGTCTTTCAGCCACACCCCTGATCTTCTGGTAGGAAAGATCTACACCTAGCCTGCTCGGACAAGGGCGAACAATCTCGGAGGGCCCGTGTGCAAGTTGCGCACGTTAAAGATCCCTTGGTGGTCTAAAATCGATAAGAGTAGGTTTCGGCCACCACCCGGGCAAAATTCAAAATTTCCTACCAACTGAAAATATTAGGTGTGTCCTGCGCGCTCATATGACTTTATGCAGTTGCGAGCGCCGTAAAACACTTTACAAAAACAAAAACAGTCTGCTATGTATACTCAGTGATGTCCGTGTTCTTATGTTGTCCATCCATGTTACTCTTTGTCTTCTACTGACTCTCCTACCCCTCATCCTTCCGTCCAGCACCTCTTTCACAATCGTCTGGTGTCGTTCTGAGTAACCTAAGTATAGATCTAGTTTTTTTCTGCATTTTATTTTGTTTAAGAAAATGCAATACCTTTGTAAACGCTACAAGAAATAATTATCAAAACTCATAGTAAAGTTATTCCCGCATCCGATCTGGACATTGGGGATTGCCTTGTTAGTGAGACAACTTCCTGGGCCTTCGGCATATTGTGGTAGGGTGGCCAGTTCCTTTCCACGCCACCTTCACTTCCCCAACTCGAAGTCAGGTACCCATTACTGCTGGGTGGGCAGGAGGGGGCGAGGCTCGAACCCGGACTTTCCGCTTGGGAGACGAGCGCACTAACCTCTCCGCCACCGCACACTCGTATCAAAACTCGTGCTTAAGCGTTAAAAAAACTGTCATGGAGGCTCGTAGACGTACTCCCAGTACACAAAATGACATCAAAACTCTAACCAAAAAAACAGCTAAAAAAGCTTCACCAAGACTTGCAGACGTACCCCCTGTACACAAAATGATATCAAAACTCTAACAACAGCTAAAAACCCTCCACCAAGACTTGCAGACGTACCCCCAGAACCAGCACAAGATGACGAGGAGGAGGGTAAAGAAGATACACACACACACGATGAGGGTGATCATGACCAGGCTGTCGTTTATGGCGCTGTCCTCATCTGAAACCAGGAGGGAGTGGACACGTCAGTCCGTTAATGTTGGCGCGATAATGTGGTCAGTGCATCGTTAAATACAATGTAAACACGTGTAGGTGTCTGATGAAAGCAGGAGGGAGTGGACACGACAGTACTTTAATGTTATGTTCAAGGCCTTCCGAAATACAAGACAAATAGATGCATTCTGAAAGCATGAGAAGTAGGGGGGGTAGAAACGACTGTACTTAAGCGGGCATTCATGTGGGCGCGAATGTTCAACGCCTCACTATATACACGACAAACAGATACAATATGATGAAAGCAGGAGGGGGTAGGAACGATGCGTTAATGTTTGCGCAATAATATGTTCAAAGTTTTTCTAAATATAAGACAAATTGATGCATTATGAAAGCAGGTGAGATTACAGTGAGCGGGCATCAACGTGGGCGCAATATTATGTCCAGCGCCTCACTAGAAACGATTGTACTTTAATATTATGTCCAGCGTCTCACTAGGAACGATTGTACTTTAATATTATGTCCAGCGCCTCACTAGGAACGATTGTACTTTAATATTATGTCCAGCGCCTCACTAGAAACGATTGTACTTTAATATTATGTCCAGCGCCTCACTAGGAACGATTGTACTTTAATATTATGTCCAGCGCCTCACTAGAAACGATTGTACTTTAATATTATGTCCAGCGCCTCACTAGGAACGATTGTACTTTAATATTATGTTCAAAGCCTTCCTAAATACAAGACAAATTGATGTATTAGGACCGCAGGTGAGATTAGAGTGAGCGGGCTTTAACGTGGGTGCTAATTATGTCCAACACCTCACTAAACACATGACAAATGGATGCATTATGAAAGCAGGAGAGAATAAACAAGAAATAGCAAACTATACCGGAGCAGCTTCCAACCACCCATTGTTATTTATTAAAACAGAGCCCCATATGATATTATGACCTGAAACAAATTAAGAGCAAAACTTATCATACACGCCATAAAAAGGGTAGAATAAAGATCTGAAACAAATTACCAATGTTTATGCACACTATAAAAAAGGTAACAGGAAAAAAACTATAATTTTAAAAAACGCAAACAAATGACCAATAATCAAACACACTATAAAAAAAAAAATTCTTCGTTACCCATTTGTTTAGATTCCCTAAGTATATTGCTCTGGGCCTACCACAGCCTCGTATGCCTTTAGGTTTGCCAGTGAGAGCTAGATGTTCCCGACCTTTATATCTATTCTTCTTCTCTTCTTCTTCTTCTACCCCGTGGTTGGGACAACCGTTGGGGCACCACTGCATTGGAAAACCAGCTCTCGCCATCTATTTTTGTCCTCTGCTCTCCTCAGATTGTCACCCATCGTTTTTCCTGTCCACTCTTTAATGTTGTCCTCCCATCTCCTTCTCTGCCTTCCTCTCTTTCTCTTTCCTTGTACGGTTCCTTGCAGGATTGTTTTGGCAAGTTCTGTGGATCTTGTGACATGCCCATACCATTTTAGTTTTCGTCTTTTCACTGTGGTCAGTAGATCTTCATATTGTCCCACTGCGTTGGTGATTCTCTTTCGTACTTCGGCATTTGAAACGTGGTCTTTGTACGAGATGTCAAGGAGTCTGCGGTAATATCTCATCTCTGTGGTCTGAATGTTTTTCTCTAATTCTGCTGTTAGTGCCCACGACTCGAAGGCGTATAAAAATATTGAGATGACCAGTGAGCGCATTAGTCTAATTTTTTAGCTGTGCGTGATGTTTCTGTCCCTCCAAATAGGCTTCAGTTTTATATCTATTCGGGTTACCCAAAAACTGCATTTGTCGTTTTCTTTTCCCTGATTATTCTTGGGAGATTACAGCAGTGGTTTCCCGTTGCCTACGGCCGGTTTGTCTACAGTTTTCTCAGCTAGCCTTTGTCTTCCCGTCGCCGAGACGGTCCTTTCTTCCAGGGTGCGAGGTACAGTCAAACCTGTGTAAAACGGCCACCCATAGTCAAGGAGAAAAATGGCCGTATAAGACAGATGGCCGTCTTAGGCAGAACTGATCAAGATGAAGAAAACAAACCATTCCTTTCTGAGGTCCCAACCGAAAGGTAGCCGCATTGTTGTTGTTGTTGTTGTTGTTGTTTTCGCTGAGGTTTTTTTCCCTTTTTTTCTTCTTTTTTGTTGTTGCTGCTTTTGCACAAGGGTGACAATAAAACGAAATGTGTGAGACAAGGAGGACCGAGTGCCATGTTAAAACAAACACATGGGTCGCCACCACTCGGAGAACGAGCGACGCTTCTGTCACTAGTTCATGTTGACGTCCATTGTTGCTTTGTTACAGACTGGGTAAACAGTGACCACTCATCTCACTTACGATTTGTGTAAGAGTTCTGGGCGGGGCTTATGGGTTATGAGGGATCACACGCTTACCTCACCAGCAGCTGAAAATGTGTTACCTATTGGTCAACAGTAGGAGGGACAACATGATCGGTTGGAGGGACTACCTAACAACAAACAGGGGATTGGATTATGACGGCTCGCCCTCAACGCCAGGGCCAAAGCACAATTTATGACAAAACGTAATGGAGTCACTAAGGTGGCCGTCTGAGACAGGTGTTATTGCTTTGTGTGATAGGGGTTGTGGGTTAAAATATAGTAGCCTCGGCAGCGTTGGACAGGTGACCGTTTTACACAGTTAAATTATATAGAAAAAACGCAAGGGGGGTGTGGTGGAAAGTGGCCGTTTGTACAGGTGGCCGTCTTATAAAGGTGGCCATCAGGGCAGGTTCCACTGTATTCATTGAAGCACCTGTGCCACCAGGGTCCTCCTCTACTCTCCACGACCATCTCCCATTTGGTTCACGACTGCTTAGCAGCTAACCTCCATATCTGGAGGCCTTTCTCCTATCCCCCACCCGGGGACGCGCTGAGTTGGGTACCAATCATCGCACACACAATCAAACAGGGCTTTACCAAACAGAGGAACCACAAGTGAAACAAGAACCTGCAACAATCAAGGACCAACAATCGTACACACAGTCGTCATCATCATCATCATCATCATCATCATCATCATCATCATCATCATCATCATCATCATCATCATCATCCAGTGCCACATCTGCCACAGACATCGGCCATCATGGTTCTCCATTCATTCCTTTGCTCGGAAGCTCTTACAAAAGCTACGTTTCCCAGATCTTTCCCTGTTACCCATTTGTTTAGGTTCCCTAAGTATGTTGTGTAAGTAAGTCAAGTCAAGTCAAGTCAAGTCAAGTAAAGGAAAGTAAAGTCAAGTCAAGTAAAGTCAAGTAAAGGAAAGGAAAGGAAAGGAAAGGAAAGGAAAGGAAAGGAAAGTAAGTCAAGTCAAGTCAAGTCAAGTCAAGTCAAGTCAGGTAAAGTCAAGTCAAGTCAAGTCAAGTCAAGTCAAGTCAAGTAAGGTAAAGTCAAGTAAGGTAAAGTCAAGTAAGGTAAAGT